CTTATTTTTCAATTTAAACGTGTTTTAACGAAGTTACAGGCGTTTTTAGTTGTCTCATGTTTTTTTGACCAAATAATCGATTTTTGAGGGAAAATATGGGTGGTCACAGAATAAGCTTATTTTTCAATTTAAACGTGTTTTAACGAAGTTATAAGCGATTAAAGTTTTCTCATGTTTTTTGACCAAATAATCGATTTTTAAGGGAAAAGATGAGTGATCACAAAATAAGCTTATTTTTCAATTTAAACGTGTTTTAACGAAGTTACAGGCGATTTTAGTTTTTTCATGTTTTTTGACCAAATAATCGATTTTTGAAGGAAAATATGAGTGATCACAAAATAACCTTATTTTTCTATTTAAACGTGTTTTAACGTATTTACAGGCGATTTTAGTTTTCTAATGTTTCCCGATTTTTGAAGGAAAATATGAGTGATCACAAAATAACCTTATTTTTCTATTTAAACGTGTTTTAACGAAGTTACAGGCGATTTTAGTTTTCTCATGTTTTTGACCAAATAATAGATTTTTGAGGGAAAATATGAGTGATCACAAAATAAGCTTATTTTTCAATTTAAACGTGTTTTAACGAAGTTACAGGCGATTTTAGTTTTCTCATGTTTTTTGACCAAATAATCGATTTTTGAGGGAAAATATGAGTGATCACAAAATAAGCTTATTTTTCAATTTAAACGTGTTTTAACGAAGTTACAGGCGATTCTAGTTTTCTCATGTTTTTTGACCAAATTATCGATTTTTGAGGGAAAATATGAGTGATCACAAAATAAGCTTATTTTTCAATTTAAACGTGCTTTAACGAAGTTATAAGCGATTTACCCAAAAAAGTAATTTTTTCCTTCGAAATTTGCTGGGTAGGTATATAATATTCGGCTTAGCCGAATATAATACTCTTACTCTTACTAACTAGTTGTTTTATTACAATAAAAATATTTTCATTTTCATATATCTGCCTGTGGCCAAAAACAGTTTGTTATTGGTGTGAGAACATGGTCCATTGTTAGAGCCTATAGTAGATGATACATAATTACATACATCTGTATGTCTAGTAAAGGTAGGGATGTAGATGAATGCATTTTTATTATACATACACAATTCTTATGTATACAAAAATAATACTACTAAAGTGTTTTCATTTCACTGTCATGGACATGCTCTTGGCCAGACAGACATACAACGAACGGGCATGAGCTCTCACAACAACCGACCGACAGACAGACAGACGGCTAGAGCATGTATCAGTGCACCTCTCGGTTTTAATTTCAGTCTTAAATTTACAATTTTAGAATAGATAAAAAAATTGTATAAAACAACTTTTTTGTTGTTATTTTATTTTTTTTTTTTTACTCGTTGTTGTCATGGTTATTTAGTTGTAGTTGCTGTGAATGATTTAGAAATTTTGTTAAATATATATAAACAATATGTTTCAAAGAAATTGCCGTTGGGCTTAAATAGTCAGTCATTCCACACGAGTTATGAGAATCATATGTATCTACATATTGTGGGTTCTTGTATGTAAATTTTTATCCATATACTTTTTTTTGTATTTGAGATGTTGTTTAAGCCATTATGACTATTTAAGATTATTTCATGTTTTTGTTGTTGTTATTGTCGTCTACAATGCTTTTGTTTTTATTTTGCTTTAATGTTTATTTTTATTGTATCTTAGAAATAAAAGTAGAATAAGTTCAAGAGGGGTTTTTGAAAAAAATTGTAATTCGTGATCAAATTATAAAGCTTAGCAATGAATGAGAGAGAATTTGAAAGATTATTTCCATTTCCTTTGTTGGCTTTTAAAGAAAGTTTTAAATGTTTTAGTTAATCTACAAGTAAGCCCCGAAAGAACTGCAGAAGGGGGGGAACAAACAGCGAGGAAGAGGGGAGGACGGGAGGCCGGCGCTGAAGAGAAGCGTAGAGAGCGGGGGCAGAAAACGGCCGGGGAACAAGCAGGAGAAGGAAGGAAGGAAGGAGAAAGCCGAAGAAGAGAAACGAACGAACGAACGAACGAACGAACGAAAAGCGAAACAACGAACGAAAGAACGAACGAACGAACGAACGAACGAACGAACGAACGAACGAACGAACGAACGAACGAACGAACGAACGAACGAACGAACGAACGAACGAACGAAGAACGAACGAACGAACGAACGAACGAACGAACGAACGAACGAACGAACGAACGAACGAAAGAACGAAAAAACGAACGAACGAAGAACGAACGAACGAACGAACGAACGAACGAACGAACGAAACGAACGAACGAACGAACGAACGAACGAACAACGAACGAAAAACGAACGAACGAAAGAAAACGAACGAACGAACGAACGAAACGAACGAACGAACGAACGAACGAACGAACGAACGAACAACGAACGAACGAACGAAACGAAAACGAACGAACGAACGAACGAACGAACGAACGAACGAACGAACGAACGAAGAACGAAACGAACGAACGAACGAACGAACGAACGAAACGAACGAACGAACGAACGAACGAACGAACGAACAACGAACGAACGAAGAAGAACGAACGAACGAACGAACGAACGAAAGAACGAACGAACGAACGAAACGAACGAACGAACGAACGAACGAACGAACGAACGAACGAACGAACGAACGAACGAAACGAACGAACGAACGAACGAACGAACGAACGAACGAACGAAGAACGAACGAACGAACAACGAAACGAACGAACGAACGAACGAACGAACGAACGAACGAACGAACGAAACGAAGAACGAACGAAACGAACGAACGAACGAACGAACGAACGAACGAAAGAACGAACGAACGACGAACGAACGAACGAACGAACGAACGAACGAACGAAGAACGAACGAACGAACGAACGAACGAACGAACGAACGAACGAAGAACGAACGAACTAAGAACGAACGAACGAACGAACGAACGAACGATACGAACGAACGAACGAACGAACGAACGAACGAACGAACGAAACTAACGAACGAACGAGAACGAACGAACGAAACGAACGAACGAACTGAAGAACGAACGAACGAACGAACGAACGAACGAACGAACGAACGAAACGAACGAACGAACGAAGAACGAACGAACGAACGAACGAACGAACGAACGAACGAACGAACGAACGAACGAACGAACGAACGAACGAACGAACGAACGACGAACGACGAACGAACGAACGAACGAACGAACGAACGAACGAACGACGACGAACGAACGAACGACGAACGAACGAACGAACGAACTAACGAACGAACGAAACGAACGAACGAACGAACGAACGAACGAACGAACGAACGAACGAACGAACGAACGAACGAACGAACGAACGAACGAACGAACGAACGAACGAAACGAACGACGAACGAAACGAACGAACGAACGAACGAACGAACGAACGAACGAACGAAACGAACGAAACGAACGAACGAACGAACGAACGAACGAACGAACGAACGAACGAAACGAACGAACGAAAGAACGAACGAACGAACGAACGAACGAACGAAAGAACGAACGAACGAACGAACGAAACGAACGAACTAACGAACGAACGAACGAACGAACGAACGAACGAACGAACGAACGAACGAACGAACGAACGAACGAACGAACGAACGAACGAACGACGAACGAACGAACGAACGAAAAACGAACGAAACGAACGAACGAACGAACGAACGAACGAACGAACGAACGAACGAAGAACGAAACGAACAAACGAACGAACGAACGAACGAACGAACGAACGAACGAACGAACGAACGAACGAACGAACGAACGAACGAACGAACGAACGAACGAACAACGAAACGAACGAACGAACGAACGAACGAACTAACTAACGAACTAACGAACGAACTAACGAACTAACTAACTAACTAACTAACTAACTAACTAACTAACTAACTAACTAACTAACGAACTAACTAACTAACGAACTAACTAACTAAACTAACTAACTAACTAACTAACTAACTAACTAACTAACTAACTAACTAACTAACTAACTAACTAACTAACTAACTAACTAACTAACTAACTAACTAACTAACTAACTGAGGTTTAAGGTTCTCTTCTTCGGACAAAGCAGATCAAGTAGCAATTGGTGATCGAGATACATAGAAATGAATCACAAACAATTCTCTTTGACCCGATTTAAAAGATTTAGACTTGGGAGTTATCCTTGTCTGTATCAGAGGGAATTTGATTACCGATACTCAATTCCTTTTGCCTCGATTTCAACGCTAAAGATTTGGCGATTTGGGGTTAACAGAACGGCACTACCCATACACCGCGATATTTACAATAAATGGTTATCACTTGCGGAGATAACATGAATTGTCCAATATCTAACGACTAATCCAAACATACTTTCGCTTACAGAATTTTTTAGAAGGCACAGGGATCTATTTCTAAAGGCAGCAATGGGCAGATTAATAACATCAGAATAAACTGCAACCTTGCCCAAATTTATGCGGATCTATAGGCTAAAGATTAATTAAATTTATGTCAAAATATCTTATTTAAGGCAAATCTTGGTATTTACTCCTAATATCAAGGATAATTCTAAACAATACGACCACACACCCACATTACATCCTAAAAAGGACTTTCGAATTAAGTGTGATATTGAAAACCAGCTCCTTCTTATAAATACCAATATTTAAAGCTCATAGTAACTAAATAAAATAAAAATATTTCTTTTAAAATTTAACAGAAGTAAATAATTTGCATACCTATAAATTAACATAATGTTAAGATTGTCAACAGCATATTAAAATTAACATTAACTTTAACATTATCTCTAACAAATGCTCAACAAATGATATTAAATGAAATGTTAAAGAGACACACCATAATGGGGGGAGAAATAATAGAGACAGAGAGAAAACACCGCACAAAACTTTAACAAAAAAGTAACAAATGAAAAAAATCGAGGTATTGAAAGAACTGGACGCAGTGCAGCAAACAGTCTGTTTATGGTGCTCAACGTAGATTGTCGTTACAATTGAGTTAAACGCGGCGCTAATAAACCAAAAAATATATAAAAATAAATATATAGAAAATTATAAAAAAAAAATATTAAAAAAGAAGCAAAGAAATAAAAAAAACGTTGGAAAATTTATAGAAAAATTGTTTGTTAAAGTTAAAAACGGAATGCGTGTAGATAGAAAATTTTCTATTTAAGTGAAAAAGAAAACCAAAAATAAATCTTATATATCTTTAGAGAAAATAAATAAAAAATTAATTTTTATATAAAAATAAAAGTTTCGATAAAGCTTGGAATAAAATAATTTATTTAGAAAAATTATTAATTAAAAAATATACATCAAAAGCAAACTAAAGTTTTAAAAATTCTTTAAAAACGTGATTTTACTAATATAAATCTGCTGCCAGTGATTTTTGTCTTGCTGTTTATGGAAAAAAGTAAATATTTTGTTTAGTTAATTACTTAATTCTTTTTTAAGTGTTTTTATTTGAATTATATTTAAACAAGAAAATCTTCCTGTTTTTACCAGAATTTCAGCAGCATATTTTGAAGTACTATTAGTTGTTTACTTTTTTTTTGTTTTTGTCCAGAAATTAAATTGTAAGTTGTAGTTTTTTTCTCGTAGTCTTTGATAGAAACAACATTTTTTGAACCGGTATGTATTTAACTGAAAACTAAGACCATTAAATACACAGGCAGAAATAATTGTGATGAATTGAAGGCGAGAGAACCATCAAAACATCTATTCTTATTTTAGAAAGAATTTTGGAAAGTGACACTTAAATCTTAATGGACCCATCCTTTCGTCATTTATTACCTTAGTTGTGTTGAAGTGTACTTAGGTTAAATGGGGTCTTAAATTAACTATAATTAATTAATTAAACTAATTTCCAATTTCATAAAACTAAATTTTACATTTTAGAAGAATGTAAACATATATAAACTGTTTTATCTTAAAAGGTTTTAAAGGGCATATTAACGTTGATTTCTGAAGAGTGGCTTAAGTTGGAAGTACACAACACGCGTTGTACGCGGCAACGCGTTATAGGTTTCTGTCGAAAAAAAGTTGAAATAGTGTATTTTCATTTAACAAGTTACAAACTGTAAGTTTCAACTGTTGACGCATCGGCAGCTGATCAGAGTTGTATTTTGTTTTGGTTTGAATAAGAAAAACTAAAATGTAATAAATGAACGAAAAATATAAAGAAAAATTAACAAAAACGTCAAATTTAGATTTTTAAAAGAGCAAGAGAGATCAAAATGTCGCGTGGTATGAAACTTGCAGCTTGTAAAGCGAGAAAAGCGTAAAACGTGTTGCTGCTCAACGCGTATTGTGTACTTCCACCTTTACTTATTTGGGACGTAGAGCCAATGACATTTGGAATGCTCAAAAGTTAATTAGTTAGTTAGTTAGTTAGTTAGTTAGTTAGTTAGTTAGTTAGTTAGTTAGTTAGTTAGTTAGTTAGTTAGTTAGTTAGTTAGTTAGTTAGTTAGTTAGTTAGTTAGTTAGTTAGTTAGTTAGTTAGTTAGTTAGTTAGTTAGTTAGTTAGTTAGTTAGTTAGTTAGTTAGTAGTTAGTTAGTTAGTAGTTAGTTAGTTAGTTAGTTAGTTAGTTAGTTAGTTAGTTAGTTAGTAGTTAGTTAGTAGTTAGTTAGTTAGTTAGTTAGTTAGTTAGTTAGTTAGTTAGTTAGTTAGTTAGTTAGTTAGTTAGTTAGTTAGTTAGTTAGTTAGTTAGTTAGTTAGTTAGTTAGTTAGTTAGTTAGTTAGTAGTTAGTTAGTAGTTAGTTAGTTAGTTAGTTAGTTAGTTAGTTAGTTAGTTAGTTAGTTAGTTAGTTAGTTAGTTAGTTAGTTAGTTAGTTAGTAGTTAGTTAGTTAGTTAGTTAGTTAGTTAGTTAGTTAGTAGTTAGTTAGTTAGTTAGTTAGTTAGTTAGTTAGTTAGTTAGTTAGTTAGTTAGTTAGTTAGTTAGTTAGTTAGTTAGTTAGTTAGTTAGTTAGTTAGTTAGTTAGTTAGTTAGTTAGTTAGTTAGTTAGTTAGTTAGTAGTTAGTTAGTTAGTTAGTTAGTTAGTTAGTTAGTAGTTAGTTAGTTAGTTAGTTAGTAGTTAGTTAGTTAGTTAGTTAGTAGTTAGTTAGTTAGTTAGTTAGTTAGTTAGTTAGTTAGTTAGTTAGTTAGTTAGTAGTTAGTTAGTTAGTTAGTTAGTTAGTTAGTTAGTTAGTTAGTTAGTTAGTTAGTTAGTTAGTTAGTTAGTAGTTAGTTAGTTAGTTAGTTAGTTAGTTAGTAGTTAGTTAGTTAGTTAGTTAGTTAGTTAGTTAGTTAGTTAGTTAGTTAGTTAGTTAGTTAGTTAGTTAGTTAGTTAGTTAAATCTGATCCCAAGAAATACACCTAGTCTACTAGCGACCCTGTTAAGCGCTCCTTTAGCAGTCTCTGGTTTGACTTGGACCATTCGTACGAATTTCTGTTTCCTTCCTTTATCGAACTATTAACATACTGAGAGTTACGCGGTCATGTCTAAATCGTCTCAACTTCATTAATATATGTGTTCAAGACAGGTCCATAAAGAATTCTGTATAGAATCTGATATTAAGAAACAAACAACCGAAAGCGTTTCCTATAAATTTTTCGTTCTGCTTAGTAAAGCTTAGGAACATCTATCGGTCACTCGTGACTGATCTGGAACTTTTAGAATCATACACGATTTTCAACGATTATGAGTTTTTTGTTGTTTAGATAATGTTCTTATTTTCAATATTTTCTTTTTCTAAAGTTTCAATTTCGAATATTTTTCTCTCAGTGTAACATTTTTTTAATAACTTACAGTATTATAAGGCCAATTAGCATAAAATTACTAAAAGTATATACCTAGTTTATTTACAATGCTACTTACTTACTTGTACTTGTAAATTTCTTGCAAAAAAATACATAAAAAGATGAAGTGCTGAGTCAAATATTAAACGAATGAAGTGGGGAAATGAAAGAAAATCCTGCAGGCTGTTGCTAACCACTGTAGCAACCCCTAAATTTCTAATAGTTTTCGGTTAAATGTCGGCAAGATAAAATCTTTAATTTGTCAATAATAATGTTTTAGATGGTGGTACAGCTCCTAATCTTTTTAAAAATTAATAATTATTTGCCAAACTTTATATTTTTTTTATATCCAAAGAAATACTTAGAATTATGAACATTGCAGTTTGGACATCAAATTCCCATTAAGTTTAAGCTAAAACATCATTTATAACTTTTTTGTTCGAACTAAAAAAAAAAACACATGACGACTGACCACTTAGGTATTGTCTAATTCAATAACTAGTTAGAAGACGTGTTTATATGGTAAGACTAACTAAACAAAACCAAATGATTAATGATTTTATAAGTTTTTTTTTTAAGAAAATTTTACGTTTCCTAGTGTTTCCCCATATGTTCACTTTTATTTGTATAACTCCTCTACTCCCCCCCTAACTTGTTTCGTTGTATTAAAAAAGGAAGTAATTATTTAGAAAACTTTAACGAAAAAGAAGAAGAAGAGAAAAATACAAGTTAAATTACTTTAACTAACGCAAAGCAAATCTACAAGATTCTTAAAACTTTTCAAGATAACAAAATTTCAAATAAAATTAAAAGATTTAAATCGAAAAGTAGAAAAATCAAAAAAAAAAAAAATATCATTAACAACATGCAATCGTTTACTACTTGAAGACTTAAATAAACATTTTAAGAAATTATTAATAAAACTCATTAAAAATAAAAGAATCATACTATATAAAAACTTGTTTAAATTAACACTTTTTGTTAATGAATATAATTAACACATTTAATAATAAAATTTAATAATAAATTTTTAAAATTTATATAGATTTTGTGTTCAGATTAAAAAGCCACAGATGGTCTGCTATATTTATGGCTATAATTTAAGTTAATTTTCTTTTAACATAGAATATTCTTTTAAAAAATATATATATAAAATAATGAGGAAAATTAAAAGATTTTGTGTTAGTAGAAAATTGTATATATTATAGGTAATGTGATGCCTTGAATGAAACGATTTTGCGAATCTTCTAATAGTAATAAAGTAAGGCAGGCAGGCTACTGGTTTTGGCAAAATGTCTGGTGCGGAAAAAAGGAATGAATTCATTATATAAGAAAAATAAATTTCTACATATTTAAAGATCATGATATAGATTCACTCAGACCCTACAACAGTAATAAATTCTGTTTTAGTCCACTTGGATCCAGCTTAGACCAATTGTGCCCTTAGATTCTTAAGTACATAGCCGATATTTAAGTTATCTGATTGTAAACTTAAAATTCTATGTATGTATGTTCTTCTGGTGTCCCGTTAGGTGAGCGGGTAACTGCTAATCATGAGTTCGATTCCCACTAAAGAATCGTAAATCTTTTACGAATCTTCCAGCTGAACTTGAAGGTCTTTAAATTATTGTATTTTGAGTTGATCTACGATAGCCTTAAAAGTATATGTTTAAGTTAATCGCTTTCAGCTCAAAGTACATTCAAACCTCAATTGTAGTTCTTCATGTTCCATAAAATTTAAATTTCTTAAAAGAAATCTCTGGAGTTCAATTTAAATCTCAATTCCAGGTCCTCTAAGAGAACGAGTTTAGCTGTAATGATATCCAATATCAACTGTAATCCTCGAACTTTTTATAGCTCGATTTCGACTTCAATAGCCGATTTACTTTCTGCAGTATTCTTAGATCTTTTTTTACTCAAGTTTGAACTTTTTTAGATCTTTTTATAGCTCGCTTACTACTTCAATAGCAGAGATATACCAATTTTATTTTAAACGTAGATCTTTTTACTTTAATCACAAATCCAAATTTCTCTCTAATCGTCGATCTCTATACACTTATTTAATTATATCTATAAACTATATATATTTATAAACTATATATAGTCCACGGTTCCATTTCAGTTCCAATTCAATGCCAGATCTTTTCATGGCACGATTTCTGCCTCAATCCCAGATCGAATATAACCTTCATTCCTTTATTTTCATATAGTCGAATTTCAGTCAATTTCAGATCGTTTGTAATTGAAATTTCTGATTTAATCAGAAATCATTTTACGCAACAATTTTAGCTTTAATCTCACTAATTTAGGAAGGAAGGAAGCCCAATTTCAGCTTCCTTACCCTCCATAAAGTGCGATTTCTCTGCTTCAAAAGTAGATCAATCATTGATTTCCTTACACTCAAATTTCTGTTAATACCAGATCTTTTAAAGATCCAATTTCATGTTACATCAGAAAATTTTAGTTTGAGTCTTAAAACTTTTCGATTCAGCCCAATTTCAGCTTTAATCATAGATCCTTTTACTCTACAAAGAGTACGATTTCTGCTTTAAAAGCAGATCCAACGGCAGTTTCAATCATTGATCTTCTTACAGTCACATTTCTGTTCATACCAGATCTTTTGAAATTCCAATT